TAATAATAATAATAATAATAATAATAATAATAATAATATAATAACTGTAATAATAATAATAATAATAATAGTAATTATAATAATAATAATAATAATTATAATAATAATTGTTGGAACGCGTACTAGCGTCACCCCGCCGCGCCGCTACTGGCGAGACGACCAGACAGGTTGCCTAACCTAGAAGCTTGTAACCGCCGTCCTGTCCCCGCGCGCCGCACCCCGCACCTCGGAATGCAGTCAGTCGTGAAGAGTCAGTCGTGGGAAGCAGTCGAAGTACAACAGCAGCCAGCACACGCGCGCGGATCGCGGAACGCGGAAGCCCGGTCTACTCCTGTAGCTTATCTACCCATTCATGTACAAGTACTGAGTAAACTGTTCTGAACCGAAGACCACTGCGAGATGAATTGCTCTGCTTACCTATCCTCAACAGGTTACGTGCCCAGAGACAGTGCTACGGACATTGAACAATTATTGCAAGTGCTGAAGATAATGTAGGAAGTGTGTGACTAGTGTTATCAAACATGAGTGTGGCAAAAGTATCCTGTATAGACTCGCTTAGCAGGGATAACTACGACACGTGGAAAATACAGATGAGGGCATTGCTGGTAAGAAACGATCACTGGAGTTATGTATCTGGCGAGATAAAGCAGCCACGGATAGATGATGGGGACGAAGCATCCACGAGAGCTGTAGAAGCCTGGACTAAAGGTGACAGAAAGGCGATGTCGGACATAATTTTGTCAATAAGCCCCTCAGAAATCAAACAGGTAAAGAACTGTAATACATCCAAGGAACTGTGGCAAAAGTTGGAGGGTATTTACCAATCAAAAGGACCCGCTAGAAAGGCCACATTGCTCAAACAGCTTACACTGCAACGTATGGAAGAGGGACAGGACATACGATGTCATTTAAACTCATTTTTCGATGCAGTTGACAAGTTAAATGACATGGATGTAGAAATCAATGCAGATCTATTAGCGATAATGCTATTGTATAGCCTGCCAGCCAGTTTTGAAAACTTCAGGTGTGCAATTGAGTCTAGAGACGAATTACCATCCCCGGAAATTCTTCGAATAAAAATTATAGAAGAGTATACTGCGCGGAAAGGCGACGTTCGAGAAACGGAAGGCGCCATGTTCGTGAAGCGGAATTATGGGAAAAATCACGGTCACGCAGGAAATGGCGGACGGGGCAGTGGCGTCTCGGAAGGTACACGAGGCAGCGGCGTCTCGGAAGGTGCACGAGGCAGCGGCGTCTCGGAAGGCAGAAGAACGTTCAGGTATAAGTGTCACAGATGCCGAAAAGTAGGCCACAAGGCCGCTGAATGTCCAGACAAAGGTAAGACTGTTGCCAATTCTTACAAAAGTGAAGCGAACTGTTCCGAACACGTGGGACTCGTTACCGCGGAATGTTATCATGTTGAACAGAATCACAAAAGACTGAAATGGTGTCTAGACAGTGGCGCAACGTCTCACTTATGTAAAGACATTAGTTGTTTTTCTGACCTTGAACGTAGACATGATCATTTGAATTTAGCAAATAGTGAATTTACGGACATTACAGGTTCCAGAACAGCCACGTTTGTTGCTGACGTTTTTGGCGACACGAAAAACATCTCACTCCATAAAGCTTTTCATGTTCCCGACCTAAGAGTAAACTTACTTTCTGTTGCAAAGATTACCGATAAAGGATTTGAAGTTTTATTCAAGAAAGAAAATGCTTTGATCTATGATAGTAATGGTGATATAAAAGTTGTAGCCGATCGTAGTGGCGATTTATACTACGCGAGAGAAGGCGAAGCGCAGAATAAATCAGCTTTCATTTCGACCATGAATTCTAAAAATGTCAAACTATGGCATCGTAGATTAGGACATTTGAACTTTCAGGATTTGAATTCTTCATTGAAGAAAGGAAGATTAGGTGGAGTAAATATTGAAAATATGCCTAATAATGGGGAACTTAATTGCGAAATTTGCATACGCGGAAAAATGACGCGTTCACCATTCCCGAAGAAGTCCGACAGGGAATCGGAAATGCTAGAAATCGTACATACTGATGTTTGCGGTCCCATGCGTTTAGAATCTCACTCGAAGTACAAATATTTTGTCGAATTCATAGATGATTATTCTAGGTATTGCACGGTATTCTTCATGAAACATAAAAATGAAGTTGTGCGAAAGACTCAGGAATATATTACACTGGTCGAAAACCAAAAGAACAAAAAGATAAAGTGCATCCAATCTGACAACGGGACGGAGTACACATGTAAGGAAATGGAGGATCTCCTGAAAAAGCACGGAATTTCACGTCGCTTGACTTGCCCATACACTCCGGAACAGAACGGTATAGCGGAGAGGAAGAACCGCACTCCCTTGGATACAGCACGTTGTCTAATCATGCAGTCCGGCTTACCCTCCGATCTTTTGGGCTGAAGCCATCAACACGGCCAACTATTTGCGGAACAGATGTCCATCCAAAAGTCTGAACGGGTTAACACCATACGAAAAGTGGACTGGAAAGACTCCCGACGTTTCGCATCTCAGAGATTTTGGTTGCAAGGTCTTCTGTCTAAACCAAGATCAGGCCAAGGGGAAGCTATACGCAAGATGTAAGGAAGGAATTTTCATAGGGTATTCGGAACAAACGAAAGGATACAAGGTCTGGTTGCCGAAGGAGAATAAATTCGTAGTCACGAGGGATGTTAAGTTCTTGGAAAACGCAGAAGTCATAAGCCAAGAATGGACAGATTTTATTCTGGAAGGATCATCCAAGGAGAATGAATCTGAGATGCATACTATCGAGGTACAGCTATCCCCAGTTGTCGAGAACGAAAATCCAGAACATGAATCTCCTACAACGGAACAAGAAGAGCCCGAGGTTGATCACGATTCTGAGCCACCCAGGCGTGCCCGCGGGAGACCCAGAATTCGGCGAACTGGTTCGAGGGGAAGACCTAGAAAGATATACAGGTACAGGACACCCCCGAGAGGTTCAGCACTCTCTTCTGAAGAGGTATTACTGTCCGAGGTCCCGATGCATCAGGCAGTCAGAGGCGAGGACGCTGACGAATGGCACAAGGCGATGGCAGACGAAGTGGCATCTATCTTGAAGAATGGTACTTGGGAATTAATCGACCGACCATGTAACCAGCACATCGTTGGAAGCCGTATTGTCCTGAGAAACAAGTACAAGCCTGATGGAACTATCGAAAGGAGGAAGGCAAGACTAGTCGCTCGGGGATTTGGCCAAAAGCCCGGAACACATTTCAACGAGACTTTTGCCCCTGTAGCAAGGCTTAGCTCCATAAGACTTGTATCTGCCCTAGCAGCACATTTAAATATGGACATGCAGCAACTGGATGTTACCTGCGCATACTTAAATGGAAGTCTAGATGAGACGATTTACATGGAAACCCCCGAATATTTGGATGAATCATTGAAGATTATTTGTGATAACTCCAAATACAACGAGGCTACCAGAAAGAAGGCTCGAGATACCTTGAACACACTGGGAAAAGGTGATAAAGTATGTCTACTTAGGAAGTCACTATACGGCCTGAAGCAAGCCGGTCGGAGCTGGTATCAGAAACTAAGCCAGACACTTAGTGAATGTGGTGCAAATCCAACTAAGTCCGACCCATGTGTATTCACTAGTAAAACAGGGAAAGACATTATGATAATTGTCACTTATGTAGACGATCTGATTATCGCATCACGTGACAAAAAGGCAATATCGTCCCTAAAAGCCAAATTATCTGAAAGATTTGAAATGAAAGATCTGGGATCAGTTAATCATTGCCTAGGGATGGAATTTTCACTAAAGAAAAACAAGATAAGTCTAAGCCAGAGAGCATATATCTTGGAAATACTAGATCGATTCAACATGGCGGATGCGAACACTGTAAGCACTCCACTTGATCCAGGAACGAAGTTAAGGAAACCGACGGAGAGCCCATCTAGTGAAGAGCTGAAGTTACCTTATAGAGAGCTTTTAGGTGCGCTAACCTATCTATCGTTGGGAACGAGACCCGATATTAGCTTTGCCGTAAGCTACTTAGGACAGTTCAACAACTGTTACACTAAGGAACACTGGACAGCCGCAAAGCGAGTACTTAGGTACCTGAAGGGCACCATCGATCACTCGATAGTATACCAACGAGAAGACATGAATCTGAGAGGATTCGTTGATGCTGATTGGGCAAACTGCCCTGACGATAGGCATTCGTATACCGGATTCTCATTCATCCTATCAGGCGGACCCGTATCGTGGAAATCGAAGAAGCAAGCCACAGTGGCATTGTCTACCACCGAGGCGGAATATATGGGTACCACCGAAGCTGCCAAGGAAGCAATCTACTTGGGCAAGTTCATGACCGAACTTGGGTTCGAAAGACTCGCTAACGTAACCCTGTATAGCGACAATATGAGTGCTATAAAATTGGCCGAGAACCCAAGATATCATTCCAGAAGTAAGCACATCGACATACGTTACCATTTTGTGCGGGAGGCCTTGGAACAGAAGAAGTTTAAGTTGAAGCATACTCCATCTTCTGAAATGGCCGCAGACGTATTGACGAAGGGGTTGTCGAGGACAAAACATCGGAAGTGCATGGAACTTTTGGGATTACAGACGACGGACCAGAACCTGTATGTGTCTGCTACGTCTCGAGGGGAAGTGTTGGAACGCGTACTAGCGTCACCCCGCCGCGCCGCTACTGGCGAGACGACCAGACAGGTTGCCTAATGGCTCGTTTACACAGTGCGAGCTAGCGTACGAGTCATCCTGCCGAGTAGCTGCAGTGCAGTAATTCGCATAAATACGGACGTACCTACGAGTAACTCGTACGTGCGAGTTGGACAGTAGCTCGCACCCGAGTTACTTCAACAATTTTGTTTTCACTCGCCTACTGGCCCGACAGCAACGCGCATATGGCAACAGCAATTACGAAGCAGAAGCTGTATTTTATGTGTGCTGCGCCAAAAGCGTTTACCCACTTCGAAATGGGCTCAGAAAGGTGGTCTTCTGAGAATAATATTACATTCATGAATCTCTACAGAGAACAAGAAAACCTATGGAATTGTTTTGATAAAAATTATAAAAATAGAGATATGAGAAAAGCATCTTTGGAATACATTGCAAACGAAATGAGTCTAGTTAACACCAGTGAGGTAACTAAAAAAATAAAAAATTTACTATCTGCCTATAACCAAGAACGCGCGAAAATTGAAAAAAGTAAAAAAAGTGGATCTGGGTCGGAAGATGTTTAAAATGGTTCGATATAATGGATTATATAATGAAAACAATTAATTTGAAAGAAAAGAAAACTACAAGCAATCTGGTGAGTACCTGATATTTTATTCCACTGAGTTAGTTCATCACATTTAATTATTACTAATCATATAATTTTGCCAGGTGACAGCACCCTCATTACAAAAAAAAAATTGTATTCTTCTCTCAATTTTTCAGCTGCGAACTTTCATCTGTTATTGATCCGCGAACGGGCGATACTTGGTAACGCATTTATTTCTGATCTCCACGTTCCTAGGTTCGTAGTGAAATTTACAATATCTTCATAATCTATGCTACCAGGTGGTGTGTAGGTGTGAAGTGATGATTTGCGCAACCAGTTGTGCAGTACACATGTAGTTCGAATCATTTTTATTGCGGTTTCCTCTTGCAACTGGATAGGTAGTGCCAAAACACGGAATCGAGATACTAAAATACCAAATGCATTTTCTACTATGCGTCTTGCCCTAGTGAATCTGTAATTGTAAATTTTTTCGACAATCGTGGGCTCATTGGGATATCGTTTCAATAAGTACGTCTTAAGAGGGAAAGCATCATCTCCCACTAGGAATCCACCTTCTGGCAGTAATGACCCATTTTCCAACACTGGATACAATGAGAAAGCTTGGAAAACACCACCGTCGGAGTTTCGCCCATATGAGCCTATGTCCACATATTTAAAACAGTAGTCATGATCCACGACTGCTAAGAGCACCAAGCTGTTTGTTCCTTTATAATTATAGTATTCACTACCACAATTGGGAGGAGCTTGAATTACCACATGTTTGCCGTCGATGGCTCCACAACATCCTGGAAAATTCCACCTGTGGTGAAATCCTACTTGTATGTCTTCCCATTCCCTGTTGTCTGGTACCTGAAAAAATATTAATTTAGTATTTTCATTTCAGCCTAACGATACACCGTCGGGGTCCAAAATTTTGGAAGATGATGTTAGTCGGGACATTGATGATAAGACTGATAATAAATCAATCGACTCCAGCGACAGCTCGTTGATCAAAAATAAAATCCAGTTCAAGTTAAAAATAAAATAAAGCATAACATTACCCAAGAAACGAGTGGAATTGCAGCAAGTATTAATGAGCTTAAATAACTGAATAGTACTATACAAACTTCCAGTTGTTCTCAGCAATGTGATGAGTACGATGTTATTGGAAAACATGTCGCTATTCAACTGAGAGAGCTCCCATTACTTGATTTTATAGACGCCAAAGATGAAATCCAACAATTACTTTCCAGATACCGAAAAAAAGCTATATGTGCCCGAAACACATCTGCTTTTTCCTCATATAATACATCGTCGCCAACGTCCTACATATCGCTGACATCACCAGGATCCAGTGTACCAAGTGATTCATTCCCAAGACCTGTCCCAATATCTGATCGGCCCGCAGAAACAGTTTCTCGGAAGCCAGTTCAAACAGTTGTTGGACAACCATCAAATGCATCATACGAGGGTATCCACTTTGGTGATCCACTAGTCAGAGCAATGATAGATGCTGATATGAACAATATGCAATAACTTTTATCCTCTGTGTTACTTTTGTATGACTTGGTTTGTCTTTAATAAATGAATGAATGTATGTATGATCCACACATGTGTCATTGAATAAGTTAACTGAACCTTTGAAGTATCAACTCATGAAGCATTTACCACATTTCTACTTACCTGCAAATATTCGTCCAAAGCTTCATACATAACGTCACAAACTTCTGGTATAAATTTTGATATGGAGGATTTTGAAATCCTGAAAAATATTGCTAACAGCCTGTATGATATTCCTGAGCTTAGAAAACACAGGGTTACTTCTAACTTTACCCTTGCTGGTATGGCATCTCTCATAAAGTGTCTTGACGCTCTATTTTCATTTTTATTAAATTTAAAAGTTTGTCAACTTGTTCGGGTGTCACTCTCAGCACTGCTTTATATTCTCGGGGTCTTCATGATAAAGCTCCTTGAAAATCGCACATGTTGCCCCTATAGATCGCCTTGCCGTCCAATCTCTAATCCAAACCTTTTTCTTCCTCTCCTTTTTTTGAAGTTTTTTGTAGGATTTTTCCAATTCCTCACATAATATTATTGTCATAGACCTTATCACCGTTTTTTTAATCACAGCAAGTTGACTCAACATCGCGACAACTCGGAAGATACTGGCAGCTACTATCATCGTGGAAACAACTAAGGCGAGTCGAGCTACTGGCATACGAGTAGACCATCCGAGTAGCTGTCTACTGCCTAGTCAGCAGCTCGCCCTGTGTAAACGAGCCATAACCTAGAAGCTTGTAACCGCCGTCCTGTCCCCGCGCGCCGCACCTCGGAATGCAGTCAGTCGTGAAGAGTCAGTCGTGGGGAACAGTCGAAGTACAACAGCAGCCAGCACACGCGCGCGGAACGCGGAAGCCCGGTCTACACCTGTAGCTTATCTACCCATTCATGTACAAGTACTGAATAAACTGTTCTGAACCGAAGACCACTGCGAGTTGAATTGCTCTGCTTAATAATAATAGTAGTAATTATAATTTTAATAATAATAATAATTATTATTATTATTATAATATTAATAATAATAACAATAAGAAGAATAACTATAATAATTATAATAGTAATAATAATAATAATAATAATTTTATTATTATTATTCTTATTATTATTATTATAATTATTATTATTATTATTAGAACTATTATTATTATTCTAAACTATTATTTTTACTATTATTATTATTATCATTACAATTATTATTATTATTATAATTATTATTATTATTATCATTATAATATATTTATATCGATCCGTCTTTCGTTTTTTGCATCAATTTTAAGAAATAGGTCGCGATATGCTGTGGGGGTCATAGAAGATATAATTGAGTACTTTTCATATCGTCGGCCCATTAATCCTTGGAAAATACTGCTTGGATTTCGACCAAACCTTCACACAAGGTTACTTCTATACCAATGACGAAAAGGCTTGACAGATTTTGAAATTCAGTTTAGTGGCGGCCGAGAAAAAGACCAAAAACGAAAAAAAATAGAAACTTGTTTTTTTGATGTTTTAATGGCTCCTGATCATTTTGAAAACATTTTTGGGGTGAAAATGGGGAATGAGGGTTGTAAGGGCTGGAAAGAATAAGTCAATTTTGCATATTAGTATAATAATACACTTCCAGCCGCAGTAATTCTGCACACCTATTAGACATACATATTTCACACCTCATAGATTTTTGCCCGTACATTTAACCTTAAGAATCAGAAAAATATTTTCAGCAGACGGCTATCGGTCGCACATGACGTACGACAAGGGGTTATTTATAATTATGCATCTTGATATTTGATTGGAGTGACGTATAAAGATCTAATCGCCATCAGCGCGGTAACATACGAGGTGGGCGCGATAGATGCTTGGAGTGTAATCCAATGTGGTTATTTGATTTCGTGACATAATGCTATATAGTATATGATTATGTATCATGAGCTATATTATATTCAGTTATCAATCATTGTTGACAAACAGAGTTTTATAACAGAGTTCTGAAGCAATGGGACTCTCTGCTATGGACACGCTCATTGCTGCCATCTGAGGATTTCTTTCTTTCATGAAAACCCATATCGTGCATTACTAGTTCGTTTGAAAGCTATGTCAACCTGATTTACGCAATTTTTTCTGGGATGGCGTGGTTTACTCTCGATTGTATTGATTGGTTTTCATATTGAGATAAAAAGTTGTCTGTGTCCATTACAAAATTGACGTACATTTTTACATTCAGGTAGTATTCTTCGCCATCATCGCCCTGGCTGTAGCCGCTCCAGCTCCCGAGGCCGCTCCTGAAGCCAACGCTGTCCCTGAGCCTAAGGCTGCCCCTAAACCAAGTGTTCTCGCCGCTGCATACACCGCTCCAGTTGTGGCTGCCCCTGCTGCATATGCCGCCTATCCCTATGCTGCTCCCCTGGCATACTCTAGCTACATAGCTGCACCCTCTGTCTACGCCGCTGGATACAGTGCCTACCCATACGCTCCTACCGTCATCGTTTGATTTTGTTGATTTAGGATAGAAAATAAAATGTTTGTTGAAGTTTAGTTTGTGTTTTCGCTTTTTTATTGCGCTTGCCAGGAGAATATAGCGACAACTTGTGCTCCAGATTAGGGACGAAGATGGAGGATTTGGCATTGAATTAGAACTCTATAAATTTTGACAACAGACATCTAGTGACTGATGTTCTATGATGGGCCCTCTCTTGAATTATTGTCCACCCACGAGGTATATTCTTAATTCACCGGTTCAGCTACCGGTGCAACCGGTTAGCCAAGTTTGCGTCCTTTAATTTCCGCTGGAACGACCGGTTGTAGATCAAACTTGTCTCTATATTGATGGTGGATATGCCACCGGTGCCAACAGCATCCACCGACGTTCGGGCTCGGTTGATCCACGATATTCTAACATCTACATTTTATCAGTTTTTGACAACTACAGTTTGTGTGAAAAATGGAAGAAGAAAAGGTTGAAGTTAGCAGCTTAGGAGTCGCGTGAAATTTAATGTTTTTTTTCAACACAAATTGAAATAAACAGAGCATCTGAAAGCAAGTCAATATGTTTTGAATTCTGCATATCGACGATCTCATATTAATACCTCGAAGTCCGAAAATGTCGATTTTCTGATTTTGTTCTGTTTTTATTCCTGTATGAATACAATGAATACAGGAATGCTCTCAGAAATCCATATCGATGGTTCTTATACGGGAAGCGTCGACGTTCTCAAATCAATGCCTCGTATTGATTTGAGATCGTCGATATCTGAAAATTTCTTGGTTTTCTGATTTATAGTTCTTATATTGATTCTCTCCGCTGGATAACTTCTTCATCAGAATCATCACTCGAATCGCTTAACAACGTTCCACGACAATACCAACTGCTGCTTACATTTCCATAATGATTTAAATGATACGGTGTTCAAATGAAAATGAACAAGTATCCATTTACGATAAAACAAAGGTTAGGTATTCTCATATGACAGCAACCTGAAGGCTAAAAATGCGTCTTTTTATTAACGACCATTCAACGGAACCGGAACGTCATCACATCAGCTGTCAACCATGAGTTCACCGGATCCATCAGTGATGGAATCAACCGATGAATTAAAGAATATAATCAAATTCAAGCGGATAACCAAATGGAAATGGTATTTACCATTTTGGGTTGGTATTTACCAATCCGTTCAAGCGAGTGTAGTTATCAGTTTGGTTATAAGATCCGTGACGTCACGAATCAGCTGTTATATGTCATAGTTATCACCGCAAAATTGTGGTATTTACCCAACTCAAGAGTAGTTTTATATTTCTGGTTATTATTTGAAATGTGACAAGTTAGAATTTTGCCGGGTATTGGATATTGTTATTGTACTTCAGCTTCATTTTTGAGAAAAATGATACAGGCTGACTTCAGTTTTTACCATAAAGTGGAGCACCTTATTAGTTATACTCATTACGGTTGTTGGGGACACTTTAAATGTAGTTCCTATGCTTAACAAAGTATCCTGTGTACCCATATACCACAAGAATATTAAAATATGGCCATATAAACTCACTAGATGATATCCACCTGTATACGGTTTTGCTAATTTCTTTTTTCATCATTTTCTGCTGAATCAATAAATGTTTTCTTTGACATGCGGAAAAAATTAGAGAATTGAAAGTTATCATAGCTACAAAGCCATGGGTCCATCATTAAAAAAAATCTGAAAAAGACATTTCTCCCATGAATATTATGAAAGGTTTCTTATTTAAACTTTCCATATACAGTTGTAGACGAAAAAGCACCGATTATTAAGTAATAATAAAATAATCAGAAATAATATACTGGCTTTTCTAAAATAAACAACTTGCAAACAAAACCGCGGTTAAAACCAACGCGTTCAAGCGATTCGTGTAACTGACGTCATCAACCCGTGTGTCATCTTGAACCATATATAACCGCGGCACATAACACAGAAATTTTGGTTATTCGCTTGGATTTGATTAAAGTATCCTGTGTAGCCATATACCACAAGAATATTAAAATATGGCCATATAAACTCACTAGATGATATCCACCGGTATACGGTTTTGCTAATTTCTTTTTTTCATCATTTCTGCTGAATCAATAAATGTTTTCTTTGACATGCGGAAAACTTTAGAGAATTGAAAGTTATCATAGCTACAAAGCCATGGTTCCATCATTAAAAAAAAAATCTGATAAAACATTTCTCCCATGAATATTATGAAAGGTTTCTTATTTAAACTTTCCATATACAGTTGTAGACGAAAAAGCACCGATTATTAAGTGATAATAAAAATAATCAGAGATTATATACGCGCTTTTTTAAAATAAACAACTTGCAACAAAACCGCGGTTAAACCAACGCGTTCAAGCGATTCGTGTAACTGACGTCATCAACCCGTGTGTCATCTTGAACCATATTCTAACCGCGGCACATAACACAGAAATTTTGGTTATTCGCTTGGATTTGATTATACCTACGCGTCCAGCT